TGAGCATTGCGAGTTAAAAAAACCTGTGCGCAGCCACTTTCAAGAGTTAGAATGTCATGCAAAGAAGTTCAGTGACCTCAGAGTGACCTCAAATCAAATAGGTTGCAACCTTGCAAGAATTTTATGTTCACATGGATCTCAAGCAAACTTATTCATTTTTATGCCCCAAACTGTCCACCAAACACCGACAGATCACTGATTTTGGATGTTTTTTTGGCAGCGTGGGTCCATGTGTGTTTCCGTGAGATTTTTTAGTTTCAAGGAGCTCCGCAAAAAGGCTCACATTTTTTTGGCCGCACCATCGCAATGGCTCGGAGGGCTTTGAATGTGGGTGAAGATGGCACCGTCTTCACTGAGGATCAGGGTCCTATGTCGCCAATGATGGCTTTGATGATGGGAAGAGCACAGGCCCTCATGGCACAACGAAAACAAGAAGATGCTGATGAATTGCAGCAAAAAAAGGTGCTCACCTCTGAGACCCAAAAGGAGGTTGACAAGGAGGTCAAGGATGTGAAGGATGGTGAGAAGGTGGGCCAAGAGATTGAGGACGGCATGGGTGGCAAGTCTGGTTGTCCCGCTACATCCAGCAGCCTCACCGATATCCCCCAGCAGAAGAAGAAGGCTCCCAAAAAGAAGAAAGGCAAGAAGTGAGAGTTTGTCCAACGCTTTGTGACATTCGTGCATTTTGGAGTGAGCACGAATCGCCCGATTTTCCAGCATGAAAACACCTACCTTGAGGGAAAAATTGTCTTAAAATCGTGCCCAATATTTCTTTGCGCGTCTCAATTTCCATCAAACACATGAAGAACTGTGATGGCAAATTAGGGAGAAAATTTACTGTTTCAGCATGCGTTCATTGCATACTGATCACCTCGCCAATGTAGTTTCAATGAAATTTCAAGAAAATTCCATCACATGTCTGAGGCAGTTTCAAGGAAGTTTCAAGGAAATTTCCTCAACCTGTTTGAGGCAGTTTGGATGTAGTTTTGATGTAGTTTGGACCATGAAACGAGGTAGTTTTGAATATAAACTTCTTAAGACCTGCATGTGACGCTATTTTGACATATGAAACTTCCTCATCACCATATTGAAACTTCCTCACAAACTTCCTCAAAACACATGGAAGTTTCAAGGAAATTTCCTCGAAACTTCCCCACGTACTTCCACAGAGCACGAGGAAGTTTCAAGGAAATTTCCTCGAAACTTCCTCACACACTTCCACAAAACACATGGACATGTCAAGAAAATTTCCTTGAAACTACATCGAGACGATCGCCAAGTTTTACGAGCAACTAACAATTTATTGATATTTCTAGTTCCTGGTGTTCAGGGTTTTGCTATGTATCTAGGGTTTTGGTTTTCCGCACAGACAACGTATTCGCTTTTTAATTTTAGGAAATATATGGAAATATACCATAAACAAACCGCAAGACATGTTTTTGGTAAGGTTTGTTCACCAAACTCACCAAACATGATATTTCAATTATGTGTTTCTTGTGTTTTACTTCTGTGGCATTTTGCGTGTTGCTTCTTCCCCTCGGACCGTGAAAAACTGTATGCCTGAAGGGGTTCGCAGCCACAAACAAAAACACGCGTGTCAGTTCTTAATCCTTTTGGACGACCAAAGAGGAAAATCTTGTCTTATTTTGGAGGCCAAGAGAGGACTACGCATATGTGATTTTCGAGCGGCTAACCCCAAAAAATATGTGTTGTATGAGGGTGGTTGATTTCCTTAAAACAAAATCAACTTGTGAGTTGTTTTTTCTTGAACAAATCTTCGCCTGCAAATTCCCAAAGGTAAATTTGCCAAATTTTTGCTTGAGCAGATCACTGCCCACAAGTTCCCGGGTATAAGGGGTCACATGTTTATTGGACAGGATCTGCGTCTACAACTTTCCGAGCGCAAGGGACCAGATTTTCACTTGAGCGGATCCGTGCCTACAACATCCCAAGTGTATAGGATACCAAAATTCTACTTGAACAATCCCTCCTTACACGTTACCATGTGGAAGGTGCCAGGTTCTTACTTGACGGGATCTGCGTCCACAAGTTCCCAGCTCTGAGGTGTTAAATTTTGACTTAAGCGGGCCTGTGTCCACAAGTTCTGCCAAACTTATATTTGAGCGGATCCCTGCCTGCGAGGTCCAAGGTGTAAGGCGCCAAATTTTCACTTGAGCGGATCCATGCCTACAAGTTCCTGATGTAATAGGCGTCATTTTTTTTACTCGAGCGGATTTTTTCTACAAATTCCCCGGTGTAAGGTGTCAAATTTTGGTTTGAACCGATCCTTGTCTACAAGTTCCCAGGAGTAAGGCGGCAAATTTTTGCTGGAGTGGATTTTTGCCCACAGGTGCCCAGGTGTAAGGTGCCAACTTTTAAACTTGAGCGGATCCCAGCTTGCATGGTCCCAGATGTAGGTTCCGAAATGTCTACTTGAACGGATCTGCGTCTGCAAGCTCCCAAGTGTAAGGTGCCAATCTTTTTGGGACCTGATCCATGTCTACAAGTTCCCAGGCGGCAAATTTTCACTTGAGCGGATTGTTTTGCACAAATCTGCAGATGTAAAGTGCCAAATTTAAGTTAGACTTGAGCGGATCTCGGCCTGCAAGGTCCCAGATGTAGGGTCCGAAATTTTTACTTGAACGGATCCGCGTCTACAAGTTCCCAGGTGTAAGATCGTGTAAGGCGCATGTTTTTTTTATTGAGCGGATGTCTGCAAGCTCCCGGGTGTAGGGTTCCAAATTTTTACTTGAGCGGATCCGTGGCTACAAGTTCCCAGACGTAGGGTTTCATTTTTTACTTGAACGAACGATCCCTCCTTCCAATTCAATTTGTGGGCCCCTACTACTTGTCTTAGCGCGCGAAGGTTTTGCGCCAACTAGCACCTTCGAACCAACAATTTTGTGACGAGTAGCACCTTCGAACCAACAATTTTGTGCCGAGTAGCACCTTCGAACCACATGTTTTGTGCCGAGTAGCACCTGCAAACCAAAGGTGTTGTGCCGAGTAGCACCTTCGAACCAAAGGTTTTGTGCCGGATTACAGCCCCATCAAGCACAAAACGCCTGCAATTGAAACGTTTTTTGCAAGTACAACATTTGTGTACCGTGCTCTTTTCCAAAACAGGTTGCTACAGCAAGTTTTTGTGCCCAATGCTGCCGTCATTGGGCACAAAACAGGATGGCTTGGATTGCTTTGATTTTGTGAAGAACAGCACCCTCACAAATCAAGCAGGCAACAAAAAACATTGCAACTAGCACCCTTTCAATTTCCGCAGTGCCCTTCGGAAAAGTTTACCTTTTGCAATGAGGCCCTTCACAAACTATACCTTTGGAAATGGTGTTCGTCACATACATAGTTTTGTTGTTGCAAGCAGTGCTCTTCGCGCAATATCCTCATTGCAAACGCAGCCCACCTGATGCAAATCGGAATGGCGGCCAGCGCCCGCAAAAACACCCATTTGCAAATGGAATTTTTCATTTCTTGAAGAATAAAGGCGCGACAAGGACACATATTTCAATCAAACACGCTCAAGCATCTTGGGCCCATGACCACCTGTTTTCTTTCAAGGGGGCTGAAAACATGTTGGCATTCGCAGCCTTCAGTTCCCTTGCCGTTTGTTTCAAAGTTTTGATTGCATTTTTGCCAAGAAACACCCTGACAAACCTAACCCTTGGAACTTGAAGGCGCAGATCCATTCAAGTTTAAAAAATCCCATACACTTGGGAACTTGCAGATACGGATCCGCTCAAGTAACCATTTGGCGCCCTTCACCTGGGAACTTGTAGGAGGGATTTGTTCAAGTAAAAATTTGCCATCCTATATTTGCGAACTTGTAGACACAAATTCGTTCCTGTAAAAAATTGACACCTCACACCTGGGAACTTGTACACGTGGATCCGCTTAAGCAAAGACTTGGTTCCCTCCACTTGGGAAGTTGTAAGAAATTGTCATCCTACATTTGGGAACTTGTAGGCATGGACCCGCTCAAATGAAAATTTGGCACCCCACACCAGGGCACTTGTCGACACGGACCCCGCTCAAGTAAATGTTTGGTACCTTACGCTTGTGACCTTGCAGGCAGGGGTCTGCTCAAGTAAAAATTTTGGCATTTTACACATAGGAACTTGTCGGCAGGGATCCTCGAGCAGAAATTTGATCCCTTAGACCTCGGAACTTGTAGGCACGGGTCCTTTCAGATAAAAACAATAATTGGTTCCATACACTGGGGAAGTTGTAGGCACGGATCCGTCCAAGTAAAAAATTGGCATCTTTCCCCTGGGCACTTGTAGGTTGGGACTCGCTTAACTAAAGCCAGTGCAGACGATATATATATATATACATGTATATATAAAGGGAAATCAACGCCCATAAGCAACACACATTATATATAGACACATTTTCATATACATATGTCGGCTGCCCGAAAAATATGTATGCAGTATGTCGCCCTGGGCTCCACAATCAAAAAAAATTGCGCGATATGCCTGCCAACCCCCTAAACACATGGTCTGCGTTCTTTCGCTGCCGGTTTCATAATCACACGCGTGTGATTTTCCGATTCCAAACGGCAAAAAAGTAAGAACACCAAATGCCACAGTTCAACGTAGCACACGCACACGTGTTTAGTCAAGCGTTTTAAAGAAACACGCAAAATGCCACAGAAGTAAAACACAAGAAACACATAATTGAAATATCATGTTTGGTGAGTTTGGTGAACAAACCTTACCAAAAACATGTCTTGCGGTTTGTTTATGGTATATTTCCATATATTTCCTAAAATTAAAAAGCGAATACGTTGTTTGTGCGGAAAACCAAAGCCCTAGATACATAGCAAAACCCTGAACACCAGGAACTAGAAATTGATCTGTTTGCCAAAACCAGGTGAGAGAAACACAGAGAGCTACCGTGCCATGGCCTTGCTGGCTCTACCGTTTTACCATTTTTAGATCAAGCCAGCATTGCCTTTGGCCATACCTTGCCTGGAGATCTACTACAAGATGCCTACCTTGTCGACCTTGAAGCGCCCTGCCTCGAGCCTGAGCCTGAGACCCGCCGCCAGTTCCATCAACGACACTATCAGCAAGCTTCAAAGAGGGTTTTCAAAAACTGACCTCGACAAAGGATCTGAACATAGTGAAGAAGAGGATGACAAAAGAGATAAGGCCAAAGGCCAAAAATATCAGAAAATGAAGTCTGAACTCCCAGAGCACGTGATCGATCTCATAGAAAAACAATCGCAAAAGGCCTCGTCACCCAGGCAGTTCAAGACCCAGATCATCAACAAGCTTTTCAACAGAAACCCTGATGGCCGTTTGGAACTCAACTTGGACGACGATGTCTTTAGTGAGCATCGCAAAATCTACACCAAGAGATTTTCCAAGGAGAAGGAGACCGCCTACCCCGAATCCATTCTTCGCGAGTTGTACTTCGGCAAGTCGCAGGATGCGCTGGATCGGGCAAAGCAGGCTGGTGAAGTGGTGGCTGTGGAGGGTTCGAATGGAAAAACTCTTTGGGCTTTTGAGTCCCTGAGCAGACGAGTCGAGAATGCGAAGGTTGAAGAGCAGAGATTGGCAAGCTCAAAGAAAGTCAGCAAAGAGCAGGCCAAAATGCTTGCGCAATGTTTTGCTGAAGCTGGCTGGTCTTGGAGCTATTCCGAAGGGGACGTCCAGTCGTTGCAAAACGGCAAGAAGATACCACAAGCAATTTTGGACCTATGCAAGCAGGCTACGGATAGCCAAAACAAGTTGTGCAAAGAGGCTATGGCCCTGGTTGGAAAGGTGAGGGGCATCAAGAGACTATGATGAAGTTGAAGCGTGGTCATGCTACATGCACAGTCAACTTGGCCAAACTTGCCCACATGAAGGAATTTCGAGAATTACCTGACGATCCCACCAAAGGCAACCTGGACAACCTGATGCAAGAGATGGCTTTGCACACCAAGAGCTACAATGAACTCATCGAGACCAGCAAGGGCATACTCCGATCCCAGAAGAACTGAGGGGTGGCTGAGGGATGGCTGTGTTGCCAACTGTGCAGCCAAAATTTTTGGAAGAGACGGTTTGAGGTGTCTCTCCACAGTTTTACAATATGATATGATGTACATAACTAGTTTCTTCAAGCGCATACTTTTGGAAACCATGTTCAGCATAAGAAAAATAAACCTGGTCAGTTTTGTTTTATTATTCAGTACATGCTTCGTGTGGAGAGCTGGCAGCCCTCACATTTTGGTATGGCTGAGGGCAATTTTTTTGGAAAGGCAATCTATAAGCAATGCCACGTCGGCATTTCTGCGCAAAATCTGTGAGCTGAGCGATGGAAAACGGGTTTGGGAAAGCGTTGCAACATGTTCAGGGGTATGTTTCAAATCTGGGTGACCCAACTTTACAGTTTTTCATTAAGAAAGGTTTTGGTGCTTCATGTCCACAAGAATTGTTTTTTCATCAGTCTAAGATCATACCTTTTAAATTCGGATATGTGCTGACGGGTGACCAGAATCTAGTTAATTTGGGGAAACACTCTCATGGGTAGACTCTCATGGTAGACTCTCATGGTAGATTTTCATGTGGTGAATCCTCTCACGATGTTTTGTTGCCGCTTTTATTGGTACAGAATGGGTTTATTCACTGCTTGGTTCAACAGGTTCGGGTGTCAAACATTGTTGCCAGTTCATCATGAAGAAACAGTATTGGTGTATAACAGTTTTATCCTACCTTTGGCCCTGAGTTTTAAAACCAAAAGGAGTGCGTCCACTGATGAGGGTCAGCGTTTTTGGGTTACCCTTGACAGTACCAGTGAGTGTTTACCTTGAGGACCAATCAGGGTTTACCTTGAGACTGAGAGATTAGGGTTTACCTTGAGAGATTATACCGTGAGTGGCTACTCTGTATATGGGTCCAAACCTGAGCTGTTGACCACTTCTTCGCATTTATTCTCAGGTAGACTTACTAAAAGCTGGAAAAAGGTTCAAATTTCCTACGAAATGACAAAGCAGGAAGAGTCAGAATTCACCCATGCTATCCTGAGGTAAAGGGTCCAACCAACTATACTGACAGACAAGCATGATAACCAACATATATATATATATGTATATATATATGTATATATATATATATGTATATATATATATATAAATATGTATATTTCGTTTTTGTTTGGCAATGGTTGCATCTATACTTCCCTTCTCAGAGGCCAAATGCAGGCCATTTTCACATGCACACAGAAAGCTACATTTCCCAAAAGGAATTGCCCAACATCTTGCCAATCTTTGGGCCTCAGCTTTCGCGCGGCTATAGCTATGAAACGGTGTCCATCCGGGACAAGGTCTCCAAAAAGAAAGGGTGGTGTGCGACAGCGCATGCAAGCAAGCAGAGATGAAAATTGGGTAACCTGGCACTTCAGCCCTAACCGCCTTACTTGTGTCCCCGTTTGCATGGGGAGAAATGTCTCCTAAGTTGGCCCAAAAGATTGCTTTGGCTGCTTTTGAGGATGCGGTAAAATTCAAGGATGGGGTCACATCCCTGGAGGAGCTTCGGAAAATTGGAGATATAGGAAGCCGGGGCTTCTATCCAAACAAATGCTACTTCGAGTTCATCAGCGCCATCCCGATGAAAATAACTATCCCAGAGGCAATGTCCTGCCGTTTGCCTTTCAAAACCCCATTGGGCATGCTCAACCAATGCATGCTTTGGCCCCATGAGTTGTTCTCGGCCATCTACAATTTTTACAAGGGAACATGGAGAAGAAGCATCCTACCTAGCCAAGAACGACTGAAAGAGTTTTGGCGCACCAACCGCTTACATCCAAGTTTTTTTGCTTCAGAGGTGAAGCTGATCCCGGATTTTGACCAGTGGGTTGTACCACTCTCAATAATGGAGATGAGGTGCCTATAACTGGAATTGGTAAATCCTGGGCACAGCAAATGGTAGTGATGAGCTGGTCATCGATGGTGGGATTTGGAACCACAAACGAAGCACAGTTCCTGATTTACGGCCTGTTCGAAAAGCTTCGTGCTATCAGCCAAGATGTTGAAAAAGATACCCTTAACAGGTTTTTCACGATGTTAGCATGGAGTCTACGCTGGCTATTGAGGGGACAATGGCCTGACCGCGATGTTGATGGCTTGAAGTTTCTTGGCTGTTCCAGTTGGTTAGCATTTTTACAGCTGATCCCCAAAAAGGGGGAGGGAGTCAAAAAAAACGGCCATACATCGTATATCCAAGAAGGGAAAACCCCCATGTATGCCCTTTTTTCCCGGGATGTATGCCCATTTTTTTTGGGCAGTGCCGTGACAAACGAACAGAAATTACAACACTTGGCTGGCGATTTTCCACTTGAGTTGGTTCCCCGAAAAAGGCCCCCACAAGTCTCAAGAATACATTGTTTTCCCCACATTTTAGCCATATTTTTATGACTTGTGGGGGCCTTTTTTGGGGTGCCAACCCAAGTGGAAAATTAGCACGCTTGGTCCTTTTTTGTCCAACTCTTATACCGCAATATTTTAACTCAATAATTCCACATTTCAAGATTTTGAAACAGGATTGACACACAAAAAATACAGTAATAGCCTTTAGTTCAACATATTTTGTTTACCCATAATCACAGGAAACAAAAAAATAGAACCTTACATCATCTACCACATCAAGAAACGGGAAGAAGTTACAGACACAGGAAGACAAAGAAATGAAATGGGACGAAACACTGTAGGCCAGAAAAAATAAGAGGAGAACAAAAAGAAAGACAGGGAGGCAAATAGAAAAGAATAGAAACCAGAAAAGAAGGCCAACCAGGAAGAATTATGTATAGTGACCATAGAACCTATCCCCTTCCTATAGTAGCAGTCCTACAACCACACAAGGCCCAAGAGTCGAAAGACATCCCCTCCAACAAGGTGGCACAAGCTGGTGTATCAGATACTTGTCACTTTTCACAAGAGTCGGTACCGCAGCTCAGCAACACCTCCAAAAATAAACAATGGTTACAATGTTCCATTTCGGGCTATAAATTCTAAAAAATCTCCTTCGCAACCCTTTTTTCAGCCCCAAAAAAGGGCCATCAAAAACTGAGCGCATTATTGCCAAACATGGAACGAGGTAGGCGCAACTCAATGCCCAGTGGAAACTCCAATCTTCAAAAATATGCTTGTAACATCCCCTGATCTATCTATCTATCTATCGATCGATCGATCTATCGATCTATATCGATCGATCGATCTATCGATCTATCGATCTATCTATCTATCTATCTATCTATCTATCTATCTACCTATATATGTATATGTATGTGTGTATGTGTGTGTAATTTTGCACCTTAGACATTGTGAACAGCACAAAAACTTTTGCCAACATATGTTAAACCTATTTAAACATGCTGTCAAAACCCACAGGATGTTCCAAACACGCATAGCTCCAGAGTCATGTCCACTGTGGCGGTTTTTTCGTTCTGAGGTATCTTCCAACCAGCTATCCACGCTTGAGAAAGGGCCATGCTGTTTATGCCGGTGTCGTGGCAAAGGTCCTAACACCTGGATGGATTTTCGTGACAATGCCCCATGGCGCGATTTGCAGTGATCAGCTGTGGCATGGCGGGCGTGGCCCGACAGGTCCCCTTGCCCACTTTTCAAGGAACCAGGATTTTCACCAGGGTGATAGCCCTGGACTGGATGCATTGCAAGTACTTAGGCCACGACCAGCTGTGTTACGGATCTGTACTGTCTTTGCTCACAAAGCACATCCTTCCAGGGGACCCTTCTGAAAACATTCGGCAAATTTGGAATGACATTTGCTATTTCTACAAGGAGCAGTCTGTGCCTTGCAGATTCAGATACCTGAATCGTGTCTCAATGTTTGAAAGGAAGTCGCCGCAATACCCAAAGCTCCGCGGCAAAGCCGCAGAGATCAAATATCTCTGCGGTCCTCTCTTATCGGTTTGGCAAAAGTACATGAACCGTCGCTTGAAAGTGCACCGGGAGATCGAGCTATATTTGACCATGAACCGAGACCTCGAGGAGATCCTCATTGTCAACCGTCGAGAATTGGCCCTTCCTGAGGTGCCAAAAAATTTGAACATTTGTGTACTGGCATGCTCCTGCTGCTGTCAAACATAGCCGAACACTTTATCGCTGACAAAGGAATTGAAATGGATTAGGGTTAGTATGAAATGGATTTGGGGGTGGATTTCTGAAAATTATTGTTGGTATATTGTTGTAATAAATGGGGGACCCATAGCCCCCACTCCAAACACCAACCACCCAGCAGTGGTGGCTGGCAGCGGCAGAGCTCCTGCACAGACGCTGCGTTGCAGTTGGGCGGATGGAGTGGTTTATTTAGGGTTATGTAGGTAGATGGCATCCCAATATGCCAATTAATATCACCAATTCATCAGTGAACAGACTACAGTACATTTGATGTTAAAAGTTAAAAGGTTTGAATCTCTAGTTTTAAATACATATATATATATATATGGTCTTATAGATATGTGGATATGTTACATATATATATACTATATATACTATTCTATATATATACTATATATATATATACACTATATATATACACACTATATATATATACTCTATATATATACACTCTATATATATATAAATACACTCTATATATATTATATATATCTGTACTATATATATATATATATATACTTTATATATATATATATATATATACCATACATACACTATATATATATACTATATATATATATGCACATCGATGTAGATATATATATATATATATAAATACACATGTGTATACATATTTTTCCCAACCTGCCAGGTGAGGGTTGTTAGATGTTATCAGAGTTGTTCTTCTCCTTCTCCTCCTCCTACTCCTCTTCCTCCTCCTCCTCGTCCTCCTCCTCCTCCACCACCTCTGCCTCCACTCCCATGTTCACTTCCGCCTTGCCAACTCTTCGCCAAGCTCTTCGCCAACTTCCGCACGTAGTGTGCACTGCTGGACCTCGACCTGGGACCTGCCGAGCTCAGTGAGC